TATTTTTAGCTACAAACAGCATTCAACACTTAACCATAAAAGTTAGTTTGTTGAATGCACAGTGAGTGAGTCTGGTTTTTCATATGTAAACTGCGTGTTCATCTCTCCTGACCTCTCTTTAGTAGGATCTGGATTTTGACCTTCCTGTCTTTAAAAATAATATGGTTTGGGGCTTCCCTGGTGGCGCAGTGGTTGAGAGTCCGCCTGCTGATGCAGGGGACACGGGTTCGTGCCCCGGTCCGGGAAGATCCCACATGCCGCAGAGCGGCTGGGCCCATGAGCCATGGCCGCTGAGCCTGCGCGTCCGGAGCCTGTGCTCCGCAACGGGAGAGGCCACAACAGTGAGAGGCCTGCGTACCGCAAAAAAAAAAAAAAAAAATGCTTTGGAAGGTATGCTTTTATCAGTTGTGTTTGTCAGAATAATTGTTTCCTTCTGTGACACTGTGCTGGGCCAATGTTTTTTATTTCTGTTTAATCAGATCCTTTTTGTCTTTGATGATGTCTTCAGTAGTCAGAAATCGCTCTCTCGCACAGCTGTTATAAATAAGGAATTTGTGGCCATATAAGGTATCAAATATGGCCCCAAGTTAATTTTTTGATCCATTTGCTCTCAACAATATTTATTCAATAGTGACTTGATTCTTATTATTTTACAGCATCTGGTTTGTCACACATTAGGTTCTTATAATAGTTTAACTCTTTCTATCCTACTTTACCTGTCAATGTTTAAAATTTTTAGCCAATATTTGTACAACTGTTCATCAATTTGATTAGCCTTTACTGAGTGTTTGTCGATGCCATGTACTGTGTGGGAATATTGTTGATGAATACAAGGTAGAAAGACATGGTTTGTGACTAAAGGAAGCTCACAGACTGGAGGCAAAGCGATAAAACTAATATTTCTTCTCCTTCTCTAGGCAGACGACAAGCAGGCCTGAAGACAAATGTGTAAACAAATGTATAAAACAATGTGATACGTGTTTATACCACTAGTGTGACTCAAATGTTATGCTTGCACAGGAGAGGAAATCAGGGAATCCTTCTCAGAGGGGGTCTGAAAAGTCAAATGGATTTTAAACCGTTAAGTCGGCGTTTCTCAGATGGAAGTGGGCAGTGATGCAATGTGCAAAGGCAGGAAGGAATAAAGAACATGATGTGTTTGGGGCACGTGTCTGGATATAGCTGGACATTTGTACATGGCAGCTGTCATGAGAAAACTGGCCAGGAAGGTGGGGCAGGGCAGGATTGCCAAGAATCTTGCAAATCACACCGGTATGGAAGGTAATAGATTCCAACGAAGGTTTTTAAGTAAGAGAGACATGATGAGAGTTTTATTTTAGAAAGATCATTCAGTGGACAATGAAAAGGAGAAACAGGATATGGGAGAATCTGGAGGCTGGAGATGAGCAGGGAGATTAACAAGAGTCTGGGCACCAGATGATGAGGGTCTGAACCAAGGTGAAGGCAGCCAGGATGGAGGAGACAGAGATGGAGGTTTACAAGAGCTCGGGACATTTCTAAGACAGGGCAACTTCAATGATGAAACGTTGCAAACTGACCACATATCTCTCCTGATAACCCACTGAGAAAACAGAAAAGGCATTAAATAGGCATAAACCTACAACACAAGGAGAATGAGAGAGGAAAGATAAAAACAAGTCTTGGAAGGTGGAGCAGTGACGGAGGAGTGGTAACAGACAGCAGAGCCGAGGAGGACCAACTCTAGGGCCCACAGAGAGGATGCCAGCAATGAGCAGCCCAGTGCACCCCAGCAGACCTCACAAAGTTCAGGACCGCCCTTGGGAAGCGATACGGTGCAGGGGACTTGTTGCAAGACTGTATATGAACCAGTTGGACATCAAGTGCCTTTCCTCTGGCCATGTAGCTAGGAAATAACTCCCTCTTTGCCTGACCCCCTCCCCAAGGTATGTGAGGGTTCCTCTGAAGAAATCAAACCAGAGAGGGCCTGAACTTGGGACACCAGGCATAGCAAAGAGTGGGGGGAATGGAGCTAGAAACTGGGGAATTCAATAAAGTCTCTATCCTAAAGAGTGGGAGGCCACCAACTTCCTTATGTCACCCGGCTCCCTGAACACAAACAGCCAACGGGGGGACCCCCAGGCAAGAGATTAAAGGACTTTTCTCTGGAGGAAACCTCTAGCTAACCACACTTGGGGATCCTCCCATGAAAAAGCCAGCTTCTTGATCATTCTACAGTGAGGTGCCCCAACCAGTAAGCTCTGCCCAGGATGCAGGTCTTCTAAACAGCTTTTCACTACTTACTTCTAAATAAGAACAGAAATCAAAAGATCAACAGACATTTTAGTGAAGCCAATATAAAAGAGAGAGTGAGACCAAGCCAAAGAGAAAAGAATCTAAAGAACACAGGGCAGAAGAAGACTCTAAAGGGAGAATAAGTAATATTACCAGAAAAATAAGATAAGCGTTATACCTATAAAACAAGAATGAGATGATGTTCGACATTTTTTTAAAAAAGATGAAGACAAATCAGGTTACAACCAAGAGCTCTTGGAAATTAAGAACAGGAGAGCTGTGGCATAGACTCACTGTTGTTACCCAATCTCCCCTTCCTCTTTAGGGAAAGAAAGAACCCCACAGGATGTCATGTGAAGCTGCAATAAAGCCAGCTAAAAAGACATTTCCCAGCCTCTGAGAATACCTAGAAAGGCTAGTGAATCAAGTTCAGAGCTATATAGCCAGGGACAACACTCAAAACCATATGTCTGGGCAGTCTAGTGGGGACACCACAGGGGCATGTGCCAAGGTCTAGACACTTCTGACCCTGAAAAGCCCTGATGGCGGAGCCAGGAATGTAGTCATCCTGCAGCCACTATCATGCTTCCAGAGAGGTCCTCAAAGTCCCCATTTCTTCAGGTTCCCAGTTCCCAGTATATGGAGGCTTCACCTAATTAGCCGAGTCTTGGTCCCGTGCCTGAACTCTGCAGGAGGGGCGGGAAAACTGAATATCTGACATTTTCAGTTTTAAGAGTGAAAGGCTTGCTGTGCCTCCCACCAAGACTCATAACACTGGAAATTCTTCAAACACAGGGAGGTCATTCAAGGCTGAGGAGGGAAAAAAAAAAAAGACAGAAGTCTACCATGATATCACGCCCAACAGATCTTGTCCCCTGGATCTGACAGAGAAGTGCGATAGAGGAATTCCAAGACAACAGCTTTGTAGCAGACCGAAAGCACTGACAGGCTAGAGTGGATCAGAATAAGGGCCATAGGACAGAGGGGGGAAAAGAACAAATGGATATGATAAATTTCTGAAGAATTCGAGCATTTGGAAAATAACGTTGAGAGGCATTTGCCATATCCGCCAGAACATCTAGAAAAAAATGATGACACAAAACCAAGCAAATAAAAAACCAAGGCTGGGCTTCCCTGGTGGCGCAGTGGTTGAGAGTCCGCCTGCCGATGCAGGGGACACGGGTTCGTGCCCCGGTCTGGGAAGATCCCACGTGCCGCGGAGCGGCTAGGCTCGTGAGCCATGGCCGCTGAGCCTAGGCGTCTGGAACCTGTGCTCCGCAATGGGAGGGGCCACAGCAGTGAGAGGCCCGCGTACGGCAAAAAAAAAAACAAAAAAAACCCAAGGCTATTATTAACCCCAGGAAACAGAAAAAGTTGGACAGAAAAGGAAATGTAATCATAGCATAATATATGGCTCAGAGTTAAGCAATATTTACCTAATCATGATAATATGAATACTAGCTATTAGATTAATTAAAAAACTGTGATGTAATTATACTGGGGACATTGGATGAGAAATCAAGAGTGGCATAAATGAGCTAGTCTTCATTTATCATAATAGGAAATCAAGAGATGAAACTGACATATCAAGAAGTAGCAATACAAATATATTATCTACAAACATGAAGGTTAACAGAAGAAGCAACTTTTTGGTTGAAAGTGGGATTTTCTGGGAGCGGGACTAGGGGAGGCAGAAGAGTCAGAGGGATGGTATGGAAGCGTGGGAACTACTATCTCTGATTATGTGACTTTTCACTCCACTTGGCTTATTAAACTGTACTCATTACTTTGACAAAAATAACATAGTTTTTAAATTTTTAATAATGCTCCTACCATTAAAAACCACCCACCAATTTGGAGGTAAAGGAGGAAAAGCAGGTGTACGGAAGAACGTAAAGCATTTATTTTTGGACATCTCCTTCTATGTCACCTGTCTCCTCCTCTCTGCCCACACTTGTCTGTACAGATCTCAGGAAGTAGGTTAACGGGCTTCAAATATAGGGAGACCTGGGTGTGATGTCCAGCTGTGCAAGGTATCAGCTCTGAGCATAGTATCGGTTTCATCTCTGTGACCTCACTGGGACTCAGAGTCTTCACCGGTAAAAGAGAAAATGCTAATATCTATTATATTACATGCAATAATATATGTAAAACACCTAGAATATGGAAGACTAAAAAATTCTGAGTTCTCTCTTTCTCTCGGAATTTCTCACGCCCCAGAAGCCTCCCTTTGAGAGTCTCTCCCTGTGTCTCTGTGCCTACAGATCTGAGGGAGCAAAGAAAAGCTGTGCTCCTAAAGCATATCTTCTTTCTCTCCATTCCCTCCTGCCTGGTTTGGGAGATTCACCTTCCAGAGACAAAACACACTGAGTCCTTGCCAGGCAGTTTGTCAAAACACATCTCCACTTCCCTTGAAAGGATAAACTGGTTTCATTCACGTTGGCTGATTTTTGAGTAAAATGAAATTAATATTTGATTATTAGCCATGGCTCCCAGCTCTAACATACAGGAGTAGCTAGAAATTTCTGTTCAAAATTAACTATCTATACCAGAGTAGAATTACAAAGTCAATTGATATCTGACCATAACTTTTAAAAGTAAATACCAAACAAAATTCACAAGGATTTTAAACCCAGCTATAAAATGAACTAAGGACTTGAAAGAGGGTTGTGATAACTGAGTAGTCACCCAAATTAGGAGGCCCCATGTGATTCCAAAGCACCCACCTTCTCTGCTCGGCCTGGGCTGATTACTGGGCTCAGGGATGAGTTGTTCTCCACAGGCTCCCCCAGGCCGAGCCCCTTCACTTCTGGAACGTGGCATGTTCCCATGGGGCCCCTGCCCCTCCCAGGAGGCAGTAGGCCACCCGTCACAGCCTTCAGGAGGGAAGGAAGCAGGAGACCTGGGGTCTAAGAGGAAGCTCTCTTGGAGGGTTCGCTTGGTGGCCTTCTTGGTCTTCCCCTTCTGATTCTCTGGGATCCCATGGCTCTCTCCTCCTCCGGGCTGGCCACTCGCAAGCTTCCTGGTTAGCTGGAGGAGCTGGTCCATGTCCTTGGTGAATTCTAGCAGAGTGCCCTCAGAGAGGTTCCAGGCAACGCCCTCAGAGCCACAGCTGGGAGCCTTCTCCAGGAGCAGGTGCTCAGAGCAGTGGAGAGCTCCCAGGCCCTCCCCGGGCACCGACTCAGGCACCTGTGGGAGGCTGCAGGCGCCCATGGACAGGGAGAAGTAAGAGTAGTCCACCGCGATGTATGTCAGCATGAAGTTGATGGTGACGATGGGGGCCAGGACGTTTACCTGACCCACAAGGACAAAGGCCATGGTCACCAAGCTGGTCAGGCAGATGGCAGCTACGGGTGTTTTACTTGGCCCTTTCTGCAGAAACAAAAATAACATGCAAGACCATGAAATTTCAGAAGAAAATCACAGTATTTGATAGAAACAACTCATAATGACTCAGCCACTTCTCCCATGTGACTCTTGGTGTGTTCCTAACTGTTCATCTACAAACTTGGGATCATGACATCCGACCCATGGGATTACTGTGAGATCAGAGCTAATGCACGTAAAATGCTTGACGCGGCCCTGGCACACAGTGGGCGCCCAACACATCCAACAGGCAGTAACTGTATTAGTAACCATTAATGTGGGACAATCCTATGGAACATGGATTTCACAAATATTTCTCCTTTTGTCTTTCACTGGGTTTAACACCAGCCTTGGAAATCAAAGAAGTGCAAAATTGATTCTTCCCATGCTTTAATGGAGAAAATGACCTGAACGGGAGCGGCAGACCCTGGAAGACAAAGCAGAATCACTGGTGGCTGAGGTGGGGGAATTCTGATACTAAACATGCACATGCATGTTCTCATACACACACATTTATGCACATCTGTTATTAATGGAGGGGGAGTATGGTGACTTTTAGAAGGACAGGAGTGGAGAAAATGCATTAACTCCATATAATCTGCCACTCCACAGAAGCTCTTCCTTACAGTCACTGACACAGTTCTTGGGCCAGAAGCAATAGTCGCTTCTCAGTCCTTATCTTCTTTGGCCTAAGGATTACATTTGACCCAGCTCCTCACTCCCTGGTCTCCTCGCTTCTCTTGGTTCATCTCCTTGTCATGGACTGCTCCTTAGTCTCTGTCGCTGGCCTCTCCACATCTCTGAAATCTGCATTTAGAGCAATCCCCAGCTCCATCCTCAGTCTATGTTCCCTTCTCTTCTCTGTCTATGTTCCCTCTCTAGGATTTCAATCAGGCTCATGGCTTCAAATACTAGCTTAATGCTCTCAGCTCCCAAATTTGAATCTCCAGCCTGAAATGTTCCCCTGAAATCCAGACTTAAATATTCAACTATCTGCTCAACATTTCCGGTTGCTGTCTAATAGGATCTCAAACCTAATATTTCCAAAACCAAACTGCTGATCCTCCAATGTCCTGCCTCTCAAATCTACTCCCCTGCAGCTTCTCCACCTCCGAAAATGGCCACTCCATCCTTCTAGTTGCTCAGTCAAGCAAAATTCTTGATGCCTCTTCTCACTCACTCATTCTCCTCCAGTAAATATTGTCAGTCTTACTCTCAGGATAGACACAGGATCTAACCACTGCTCCCATCTCCTTTATACCAGCACTCTGTGATGGAAGGGGCAGGCACGTCAGCCACTTTCAGATCTGACCCGTGAACCTCCCAGGTATGTTCCTCCAGCGCGTTCCCCTTACTGAGGGTTGGAACAGAGTGCAATCTTCAGAGTCACAAGATGAAGATAGTGAAGTCATCGTGGCCTGATTCTCTGAGGATCAGAGGCCCTGTTGACTTGAAACACCTTCCCTAGAACCTCAGAGTAAAATTTTTTTTAGAAAAAGGAGTAAAAATACATTTTATTGTTTTTGAAAATTACATTTTTGGGTATATTTGCTACAGTTATTTAGCATACTCTAACAATAAAACTACCAAGGATAAAATAAATCCTCATGAACTAACAAAAACTTAAAAGGAGGGTCCTAGGTAAGTGGAAGGAGGTCTTAGGTAAACTGTAGGAAATGCAAGTGGTCCAGGAAAGGACTTTGACAAGCGTGGGTTGGAAAGTGATAAAATAGTCACACATGAACTTCTGTTACCAAAAGACACATTAAGAAAAGTCAAGTCACAGAACGGGAAAAGATATTTGTGACACGTGTAACTGACAAAGGGTAATGCAGAATATACAAAGAATCCCTACAAAATAATTAGAAGACAGACAGCCCACTAAAAACAATGAGCAATTCCACGAATGGGTACGGGGTCTGCAAGAATGCCATACGTGAACAAGTCTACTACAAGAATGTTTGCCGCACTGTCTGTAACAGTCCCAAACTGGGACATAACATGACAGCAAGATGAGCAAATAAACTGCAGCCAATGAGGAAATGCTATATAGAGATGATAATAAACAAGACGCTATTACAAGCAAAAACACGGAGAAATCACATGCACATAATGATGTATGAAAGAAGCATGCCACATTCATATAAAGTTTAAAAAACAGGCAACACTGAACTAGGATGTAATCCAGAGGTGGCAAACCATGGCCCCTGGGCCAGATCTGGACACCATCTGTTTATGTATGCCCACGAGCTAAAGATGGTCTTACATTTTTAAAGAGTTAGGAAAAAAACCAAAGAAGAGTAATATTTTGTGACACCTGAAAATTACATGAAATTCTAATTTCAGTGTCTACAAATAAAGTTTTATTGGAAGACAGCCACACTTACCCCATTAGGGTACTGTCTGTGGCAACTTTCGAGCTACAACAGCAGAGTTGAGCAGTTGTGACAGAGTCCATAGGGCCTGCAAAGCCTGAAATATTTACTATTTGGCCCCTTTCAGAAAAAGTTTCCTGAGTAAAACCACAGAGAAAGCAAGGAAATTATCACAGGAATATGGATAGTAGCTTCCACAGTGAGAGGGACGGGGCTCCGACCAGAGAGGGTATGTGGAGGGGGGCATCAGGGGCTGGCAGTGTTCTTGGGTGGAGGTTACACGATGTTCACTTCATAGCCATTGTTTAAGCTGTTCATATTGGTTTTATGCCCTTTTCTGTATGCTGAATATACCTCAAAAAATTTTTAAAGTTTCCTCTCTCCCCCATTAAAAGAAAAAATGTACTAGTAAAATTTAATCATATGTAAAGAAGCTTCGACAAAAAATATTCCTCCAAAAGGCATGTGACAACTAGAGAAAATATTTGTAGTACATGTAACAAAGAAACAGCATCTGTCAATTCAGAAGAAAAAGATGAACAATCACAGAAAAAAAAAAATGCAAACGACTCTTAGGGGAAACGGTGTTCAACACCTTTCCTAATAAGGGTAATGCAGATCACAAGTATCTTAAGATGCCATGTCTCACCGCACAACTGGCAAAAATTCATACCTGACACTGAGCTGTAGACAGGCTCATCAGACACTGTGGTGCTCAGGCACGAGTGCAAATGGCGAGCCACACGCCCTGTGTCCAGATACGCACAATGATAAACCAAGCTCATAACCATTAAATCAAGTATGTTCTGTCTTCCTTCCTCGGCAAATATAACTTCAGGACGATGGGGAAGGCCAGGTTCAAGTTTAGAGTTCTGGCACTCCCCGGAGCTCCTCCCTGCAGGATCCAGCTCACTGCCCACTGGCAACTCTTGTCTTCCTAGACCACACTGCAGGGCGGGCTCACACCCACATGTGGATTCTCAGCCCACACCCTAGCCCTAAAATGGACAGGTTCAGGGAAGACGCCCTGGCAGACCCTGCATTTAGGCTGGGGGACATCTGGGAAGGAAATTCCAGGGTGTAGGATACCTGGACCATGGTCTAGAAGGTGGATATGGGATCTAGAAGGGCAGGTCCCCTTGACTTCATGAATTTCTTAGAGACCAGAACAGAGTCCTATAAAGCAGGGTCTTTTGGCCTGAATCTAACAGTCATGATGGCTATTGGGAAACAGGAACTCTCACACATCGCTGGTAGAAGTACAAAATGATACAAATTCCATGGAAGGTGTTTTGGCAAAATATCTATTAATGCTAAAAATGCACTTACCTTTTGATCAGCAAGCCCACTTATGAAAATTTATCCTATATCTATTTGCACATGTACAAAATTATACACATACACACACACACAAGAGTATCCTTTGTAGCACTGTTTACTGGAAGCCATACTATCTATAGGGAACTGGTTAATAAACTACAGAATATACACATGATGGAAAAAGAACGAGAAAGTTCTCTCTATATTTATGTGAAAAGATCGATTTCCAAGCTATATTATATGAAGAAAAGCAAGGTACAGAACAATGTATATAGAACACAATCTTTTTTTTTAAAACATGTTTATTGGAGTATAATTGCTTTACAGTGGTGTGTTAGTTTCTGCTGTATAACAAAGTGAATCAGCTATACATATACATATATCCTCATATCTCCTCCCTCTTGCATCTCCCTTCCACCCTCCCTATCCCACCCCTCTAGGTAGTCACAGAGCATGGAGCTGATCTCCCTGTGCTATGTGGTGCTTGCCCCTAGCTACATTTTACATTTGGTAGTGTATATATGTCCATGCCACTCTCTCACTTTGTCCCAGCTTACCCTTCCCCCTCCCCGTGTCCTCAAGTCCATTCTCTACGTCTGCGTCTTTATTCATGTCCTGCCCCTAGGTTCTTCAGACCATTTTTTTTTAGATGCCATATATATGTGTTAGCATACAGTATTTGTTTTTCTCTTTCTGACTTCCTTCACTCTATATGACAAGACTCTAGGTCCATCCACCTCACTACAAATAACTCAATTTTGTTTCTTTTTATGGCTGAGTAATATTCCGTTGTATATATGTGCCACATCATCTTTATCCATTCATCTGTCGATGGACACTTAGGTTGCTTCCATGTCCTGGCTATTGTAAATAGAGCTGCAATTAACAGTTTGGTACATGACTCTTTTTGAATTATGGTTTTCTCAGGGAATATGCCCAGTAGTGGGATTGCTGGGTCGTATATAGTTCTATTTTTTGTTTTTTAAGGAACCTCCATACTGTTCTCCATAGTGGCTATATCAATTTACATTCCCACCAACAGTGCAAGAGGGCAGAACCAGTCTTTGTAAAATTAGAAGAGAGAAGGATTCCTAAAAAACTAATAAAACCAGCTACTGGTAAGGCATGGGCGCAGATGAAGAAAGAGTAGGAGGACTCATGAAAGGAGCAAAAATTCTCAGGGTGCCTTTTATATCATTTTTAGTTTTGAACACTGTACACATATTATCTAATAAAAAATAAATGAAATTAAAATAGAATAAAAGGCATATAGCACATGGAAGGTACTAAAGATGACAGTCATTTGTCCTACCCGCCCATGCTGACTGGTGGATAAGAAGTGGAGGAAGGTAAAGGGAGGAATTAAAGGTGACTTGTAACTATGTGGCCCCAAACAAGAGGGGGGATGGGCATGGGAAGGGGGTGGGGAGGACCCCTGTGGTGTTCCAACCACATAGAAATCAACTACAGCTTGCAAAACACATGTTTGGAAAGTGGGGTTCTGTTTCTTTCTCCTGTCACCCCTTCGGTTTTAGGAATGTCTCATTTGATGGTTCCATGACTCAACCAAGTTGTATTAGGGTTTGGGCCGTGATGACTAACAGAGAGCCCAGAGACCGGAGGTGTGGGGAATCATCCTAAAGCAACCCCAAAGGGAAGGTGAACCTCCGGGATACAGTTAGAACTGCAAGGGCCAGCTCCCCTCCTCACGAAGAGGTTTTTCCCTCTAGGCTAAACTTGGAGGATCCAGAATTTATTTATTTATTTTTATTATTTTTATTATTTTTTGCAGTACACGGGCCTCTCACTGTTGTGGCCTCTCCCGTTGCGGAGCACAGGCTCCGGACGCGCAGGCTCAGCAGCCATGGCTCACGGGCCCAGCCGCTCCGCGGCATGTGGGATCTTCCCGGACTGGGGCACAAACCCGCGTCCCCTGCATCGGCAGGCGGACTCTCAACCACTGCGCCACCAGGGAAGCCCCAGAATTTATTTTTATTAAAGGTTGTGGCACTCCCTCTCCCTGCTGTGCAGGGTCCACAGTGCTACGGTGACGGTTAGCTAACCCAGCGCTAAAGAGCCCTAGGTGGTTGTGACATTGACAGACACTTTGTCCATTGGCCCCAGACTAAAGCAGCCAGAGGACAGGGGTGCATTCTTGTTTCTCCCCACCAGAAGCGGACCAGCGGCTCTTATCAGAAAGACTTAAGCAATTTATTGGCCAACGATCAGGTTAGTGGCAAAACGTACATTTCTCAAAGAAAAGGTCACTCACCCCTTGCCCCAGACAGGCCAGCGCAGGAATCACTTTCTCCTGGGCAATGCACTGCAGGATCCGGGGTGCTCCGTAGAGGCCTCCCATACAGGAGGCCAGGGACGAGATGTATAAGCCCAAAAGGAACAGGAAGCCCACCAGGGACACCTATATGAGGAAGCAGTTTCATTATCCAGTGTCAGAACCTGCTTACGTACCTTTTTCTCCCCTGGCACCCACCCCCCCACACCCCATCTGACCATACATCCTCTAGATTCAACATCCTGGATATATTTCCAATACCCCAGCCCCACCCCACTTCCTTGGCACTGCTACCATTTGAGTTTGACCCACCATCCCTTCTTGTACGGACTACACAGAGTGTAGTCACACTCAAACTGAGTGTGCGTCAGATTCATCCGGAGTGCTTGTTGAAACACGGATTTCTGGACCTTACCTCAGAGTTTCTGATTCAGTAGGTCTGGGGTAGGGCCCCTAATCTGGATTTCTAACAAGTGTCCAGGGGATGCTGATGCAGCTGGTCTGGGGACTATCCTTTGAGAACCACCACCACCAACAATGCTAAGTGGCTAAGCTCTGTCCCCAAGCCAAGCCTCTGCCAGTGTGACCTAAATGCACATCTGATCACGGTTCTCCATCCCCCCGACACACCTGGCTCTTCCTGGTCTGTGGCTCTTCCAGCCCCACACCCTGCACACTCAGAGTCTATCAGCATGATTTCTCTGCCTGCTGGAACCCTCTGTCCACACCCCTAAGCTACTCATCGTCTGTCTCTTAAACTCCGAGTTGTGCTTCAAGACTCAGCACAAATCTCCGCTCCTCCATGAGGCCACCCCCAGCCCGTCACCAGGTGTGCCTGGTGCGCCTCTGGGCTCCGCTGCACCTCAGCGTGAGGTTGGGGCACACCATCGCTTCCACTGGCTTCATTTCTGCAGGGCTCCCGTCTGGTTCATCCTGGTCCACTTGGTGCCAACACAGAAATATAAATGCTGAGCAAAAGAATGAGATCCAGGACGCACGTGGCCCAGAAAGCACCAACAACAGGTAGAATAAGAGAGGGCAGAGCTGTTCTGCTTCGTGTCACCTTGCACAGATCAGTGCTGCTGGCCATGCAGCTGTGTCCCACGCTGTCTGTCATGAATCTATCTCTCCCTCCTGAGCTGGACCTCATCTGTACCCACAGGGAAGTCTCTCTCTTTTCTTGAGTATTTGAGGTACCTTCTCCTTTCTACTTTACTTTAGGCAAATGCCCCGAAATGTGTACTCTAAGTGCTTCATCGTCCAACTATTACAGTTGGGTTAGATTTCGTTTTCAGTTTTGTTACTTACACCCTTCTCCATGAAGACTCTCCTCACCCCAGTTTTTGCTTCCTTGCTTTAGCAAATGCAGTGGGTCAGTGGCCTCAAGCTCTATGGAACACTGGCTAGACCTCTTTCCTGGCCCGTAAATTATCACCAGAAACCGGCATCAGCCAGGATTCTCGACCGGAAATATTCTTTTTAACAAAAATTTTTTAAACTTTATTTTAATTAATTATTATTATTTTTTTGGCTGAGTCGGGCCTTAGTTGCGGCACACGGGATCTGTCGTTGCAGCACGCAGGCTTCTCTCTAGTTGTGGCACGCAGGTTTTCTCTCTCTAGTTGTGGCACGTGGGCTCCAGGGTGCGTGGGCTCTGTAGTTTGCGGAGCGTGAGCTCAGTAGTTGTGGCGCGCGGGCTTAGTTGCCCCGCGGCATGTGGGATCTTAGTTCCCCGACCAGGGATCGAACCCACGTCCCCTGCGTTGGAAGGCGGATTCTTTACCCCTGGACCATCAGAGAAGTCCATGGAAATATTTTTTTAAGAATATATTCATAGGCTACTAGAAGGGTCACAGGATCGGTCGTCAGGAGACTGAAAGATCAGGCTCGGGTAAAGGCGAGACCCAAGGCTGGAGGCGCATTCAGACCCCTGAACAGGAGCAGTCTGACCAAGCTGCGACCAGCACCTGCTGCCCTAAAGATGAATCCTCACCATACCTTTATCTTTGCCTCATTCATTACATTTGGAGCATCTGATGGGCCCAGCCTCAGTCACATGCCCTACCAGGGCCACAAAGGGACAGGCAAGGGAGAGTCTGGTCATTTGGACTCCTATAATATTAAATGGGGCTCACTCCCTTCAAGCCCTCACACAGGGGGGATAACCCCCAAATGGTCAGGGAGGACAGAAGTTTGATGGACAAGACTAAGGTCCACTATAGAGCCTACATTTTCCTTAATTCAGTGTGGATGACTTCTCCCTGAATGCATGGCCTCATCTTGATCCCCAATGAATCTCTCCTCTTTTCTTCAATGTCACGGGTATCTTACAACTATCCCACTCACACCCTTCTTACCACTTTACTACTAGAAGAAATTAACGTCATCTAACGTTTCCCTCACTTCATCTGTATGCTCCCATGGCACGTTATTTCCTGCCCTGTGGTGCAGTTAATTACGCTCACGGCCCATCTTGCCAGCGGGCCATAAACTTCTGAGTCTCGTGCATCTTGGCCCCTCCCTGCCACACCTGAGTCTGGCGCACAGGGTTCAGCAACTGCCCGCTGAAGTCATAAAGCTTCACGGCTTCGCTGTGACTCATGCCCTGGATGTCTTATAAAATTGTCAGATAAACTGGTCCCAGTATCAATCCCTGATCCATGCTGAGATACAATCATCCATCTGTAACCTTTGTTTCTGTCTGTTGACTTTTTTTCTTTTAATGGACTCTGTGATGAAATTTTATCAAAAGCTTTTTTTGGAAAATCTGACCCAGTAGTTCTCCACTCTGGCTATACACGAGTCACCCCAGAAGTTCTGCTTTAATTAGTATATGGGACACAGACGTGGTTGATTTCTCAAAAGGCCTCCAGTGATTCTAACGTGCAGTGAGGGTGAAAGCCACTGGGCATGGTACACTGTCTTCATTGCATCCTCCCCTCAGAGAATTCTCCAGCACAGGCAGGCATGGTATTTCCTTGCAGAAATTTTACTGCTTCTTAACCAAAAGCTTATATACATTTGAGTTAAAAAAAAAAATTCTTGGGACTTCCCTGGTGGTACAGTGGTTAAGAATCCGCTTGACAATGCAGGGGACACAGGTTGGATCCCTGGCCCGGGAAGATCCCACATGCTGTGGAGCAACTAAGTCTGTGCACCACAACTACTGAGCCTGCGCTCTAGAGCCCGTGAGCCACAACTACTGAGCCCGTGTGCCACAACTACTGAAGCCCGCGCACCTAGAGACTGTGCTCCACAACAAGAGAAGCCACTGCAGTAAGAAGCCTGCACACTGCAACAAAGAGTAGTCCCTGCTCACCACAACTAGAGAAAGCCCACACGTAGCAACAAAGACCCAACACTGCCAAAAATAAATAAACAATTAAAAAAAAAATCTTTTTCAGGGACTTTCCTGGTGGTCCACAGCGGTTAAGACTTGGTCTTGCAATGCAGGGGACACAGTTCAACCCCCGGTCGGGGAACTAAGATCCCACCTGCCGCAGGGCAACTTAAGCCTGCACGCCACAACCAGAGAGCCCACGTGCTGCAACTGCAGAGCCCACACACTCTGGAGCCTGCATGCCACAACCAGAGAGACTCTGCGTGCTGCAACTAATAAGCCCGTGTGCTCTGGAGCCTGCGTGCCACAACTAAGACCCGACACAGACAAAAAAATAATAATAATAAAAATAAATAAATAAATATATAAAAATAATTCTTTTTCATTTATAGCCTGCCCATTTGCAGTGGACATGAGTGGGAAGAAGACTGCCCAGGTTGGCATCCTTCAGTGATGGAACTGACCAGAGGAAGTCTCTGGCAACATGAGATTGTGATATGGTGACCTCCGTCCTGGCCAGCCTCCCCACAAATGCTCCCCAGGATCCCTGCAGAGCCCTGGGGCTGAGGGCCAAAGGGACAACTGTCCAGGTGTCAATTGTGGACTTACGTCCAGTTTGTCAATTGTGTTTCCAATGGCCTGCTCACTTGCCACTCTTTTATATAAAACTGTTATTCAGTCAATTTTCTGAAAAATAAATGAAATGTTGGTCCTCGTGGTTGGATATATTATAACAACTCCATTCTCTCTCTCTCTCCCACCTGAGTCCTGCCCCTTCCTTTCTCTCATCCATCCACCCATGTAGGGAGCATTTCCTGAGGACCGTGTAGAAATACTGGCATAGGGCAAGGTTTTACAGGTGCAACAGTAAACTCCACAGCTTTGCTCCCAGCTGCGCAGAATGTAATCATTTTCTCTATTTATATGGGGCTGTAAACTTGCTATCTGTGCCACTGGAGGTGGAAGTAAGAATCTATTTGAGCAGATGTGTGTCAACAGTTCTTTAGGAAAAAGTAAAATGTGCCCTTCTGTCTTCCACCGGCGTGAGTCACCACAAAAAGCTGTCTTTCTAAAACATTATCTGGGGTGTGAACTACCCTAATTTCTCGTTTCGTAACTACTGATGAAAATCATTCATTCGGCTCTCTGCTCTTGGTATTTGATCCCAGCTCCCATTGGCGCTCCAGTCATTGAGAGAGCCCACCAACCTACTGGCTGATCTCTTCTCTTGAAGGACTGAATATAAAGGCATTTCCAAGGTACTCACTCTGCCTTACCTAATTCCTGCGGCCCCTGGACATTACTGAGGAGTACATCCTGACACCTGTACGATCCCAAATGTATGACTGTGGCGATGCCTCAGCAGTTCCCTCTTTCTGGAGACATGAGTTTTCTAACACTGTCCTCATTCCATGAGTTGACCAACTTCGCAACTTTCAGGCAAGTTTTCTCTCTCACTTGATAGACACTTTCCAGAAGGAAACAAAGTCGGCTTCACTTCCTGAGAGGCAGAGCCGTGTCCACGATGGAGAGCAGAGGACAGGCAGGTGGGGCTGGGTGGCGGATGCTGGGCTGGGCTCACCCCGCCAGCCGCGAGCCCTGCCTCACCCCGACTTCCCAGGCGTAGCTTGTGAACGTGGGAAGCCGTGACTGTCTAATCCAAGAGTGACGAGCGTTTTCCCCGTAGGATACCCCACGTTTCACAAACATGCTTTGCGGATACTGTTCCTACTTAGTCTGTTCTTTTTTTGCTAGTTAGCAAGCCCCAGGGCTCCTAAAATACTTGGTCTTTTTGATGTGTAATAAACATTTTTTCTTGGGCTGCATACAAGTTTATTCTGAAAAAATTATTCAATCTGTTTCATTTTACCCCTACTAATACCTGCTCTTTATACAACTCCTTTTTCTATAACCCAATAACATTGGGATTGACACTTTGGGGGCTTTTCCTATTCAGTTAAACATGTGGATTCACAGGAAAAAATCTCCCCACCCCAAAATGTGTCCTACCTGTAAGGGTGTCCCCACAAGGAGTGTGTAGGGAGTCAAAATGTAATAAGCACCTACCATGCACCAGGTATCGTGCTTTACACGGATTACCTCAGAGCCACCTTGACGTACTCGGGGATTTTTAGAAAGTGTAACATTAGTGAGACTGACACCCAACATCCAGGAAAACGTTCCTCTGGGGTAGGGATATAAAGTGAAAAGAAACTTCTGAGAGGAACCATGGGCTGGGAAGCCAAATAATTAGAAATAGATCAGAGAAGCTGCAGGAAACCCAGAAAGAAACAGATGAACGGACCCGCTGCAGGTCAGTGGAAAGGAATCCAGGGCAGCCAGCGGCCACTGAAGGTAAGTGTTCTGGCAGAAAAAGCTCGCGAGTAAGAGAGGGACGTGCTCAGAGGAGCTTCACGAGGAGGAACGCCAAGGGGTGGATGCTGGAGGTCTGTGCCCAGCCCTCGGGGCACACAGACCGGACGGAAGAGGCCTTGCTTCCTTGGGCCCAGGATTGCTCAGAGATGGGCCAGCTCAGAACCCAGGCCACAGCTAAGATGTGAGGGAGAGATGAGCAGTTTATTAAAACCACATCGGGGTGGCAGGTGTCAAGGGACCACGTAAGGAGGCCACACCTGTACCTGCCAGCCTCTCGTGCTGTACCCTCCCATCCTCCAGGTGCCATGAGTACAATTGTCTGTGGCCCAACTTACTGCCCAAGTATAGTCCCTGCTCTGCAGCCGGGTCAGTCCCAAGGAGGGATGCCGAAGGGCAAGAAGGGAGAAAAGCCGGGTTTCATGGCTTTGTGGGGAAAATCCCACATGGTCCCCTTTGTAGGGGACCACAGCGGGCAGTGCACCAGGGCACTGCTGCTGTGGAGCTGCCCTGGTTGGTTCCGTCTCTGTTCCCTCACTTGCTGCGCTGGCCCCTGCTTGCTACTGACAATCAAGAACTCCATCTTTTCTTTCTTTCATAGGTTTCACAACAGCCTGTTCCGGGAAACAGTCTCTTGTCCTCTCCAAAAACCAACTGTCCACCCTCACCTGGTATGCGCGTAGTGACATTCCCACGTGCATTTGCCAGGCACGGTTTGGCAGGTGTCCCCAGCCACAGAAGGGCTTGCCTGCCTAGCTGTTTTAGTGCCTGGGACAGGTGGCATTTCAGACAAACTCCACCCCCTCCCTGACCCCATTCACGAGTCTATTATTAGTGGTGGAATCTCCACTCCACGAAGTCTGCCCTGCGCTGTCCGTGGAGACGCTCTTACACGCTTGCTGATGTGGCCTTCCTCGGACACAGGCTGCCTAGGCTCCCACACCCCCATTCTTAGCTTCCCCGCAAAGCCGGGGAAGGAGCTGAGAGAGGAGACCCCGCCCAGGGATCACTGCCCTCCCTCCATCCAGATCAGAGTCTCTGGTGGTTGAAGGGACCTCCGTGGGGGAATCCACGAGGAAGAACCGGCTTGTGAAGGGGCAGAGCTAGCTGGCCACTGGCATGGTGCAGACAGCAGCTGGCAGCTCCCTCAGGCCAAGGCCCAGCTGCTCCTGGAGGCCTTTAATCCCTCTGATGTGGCCAAGCTTTTCATTCCACAGTTAGAGAAGAGGCCCCTGGGAGATGAAATGCAAGACGGCAGCGAGCACGGAGATATAAGTGGGGGAAGCTGATGTTGATTCCTCCCCTGAGAGTAAACCTTGCTCGCCTGCGGTGGCGGGGGGCGGATCTAGGACCTTGGGCCCTGGGAGGTGGGTGTCAGCGCTTTCACTACTCAAACCGCTCCCCCTTTTAAAACCTGCTTACACGGTAAGGCCAAGACCCCCCATCCCCCCAAAACAAATATCACCCTGACACCGGCGTCTACATGCCTGAAAAAGAAACCTGTGGCAATGTGAAAATCAAGCCCAAACGTAGCTGTAAAATGTAGTTCAGAGTTTCCGGCCCCAGGTTGCCCCAAGCAGCGCCCCTCCATGTGTCTGCAAGGCTGCTTTGCAAAGCCTCACACCAGAGAAAAGGGTACTTTCTCCTACATATGAGCAGTGCTACTCAGGAGTTAACCGAGTAAGAAAACCTCCCTGGCCTGGCGCATCTCTCTGATGCACGACAGCAATCTCAGGGCCCACTTTTCCCCCAGGGAACTGATGGGAAGATAGGAGTTTTGGGGGATTTCCAGAAGAATGTGTGGAAGTCTTATTCTCCTGGGTTCTAGAGACGCCAAGTGAGTGTCCTTGACTGTCACATGACCTCCAGCCTGTTCCAGGGCTGCTGTGGAACATCAGGAATTCGCTAATCTTCTGCGGACAGAGGGTGCAGGGCTCAGGGAACAGATACTGAAGCCAAATCCACCCGGGGCCACCTCCCTGGGGAGCCCGAGGGGACAAGGGGCCTCCAGCCCTGCCTCTCACCGCCCTTCACCTTGGCGCTGGGCTTCCGCCATCTGCCTCCACCTTGCCACCCTCTTTTCCGTCCATCAGCCTCCTCCTTCCTACCCGTTTCTTGCAAGTAGCACTTCCTGCTTGTGGTGGAAGGGGAGGCTATTGGCAAAAATGAAGGGCTGCTGGAGCTCGGGATTTCGGGGGACCAGATTGTTTCTGCCCTGATTTTTGACATGAAGGGATGCTTGTGTCCCCATTACTTAGCACCTGCATGCATGTGCCTTTTCAGGTGTTGTTACCCGGGTCTAGGGATCCATACGAAGGACCTGCATCTTCCCCATGGTTTTGGCCCCTGTACTTCAGTCCTGAGCCCGAGACTACATGGATCCCCAGGCAGGGCTGCAAGGGGGAGGCAGCCACTGCTGCTCAGAGCCGATCAGTGACCCCGCGGCCTGAGCCTGTCGGGCAGTGCAGGACTCACCCACCTTTTCTGCTATCAGGAAGTCATAGCGAAGGGCCCCTCGGGTGCAGATGGCGCCCAGCAGGAGGACAAAGACGATGTACAGAAACCACCTGCAAGAAACCCAAGAGCGGAGCAGAGCTGCCACCTGCCCTCGCCCAGCCCCATCCCAACCCACCCCACCCCACTCAGCCTACGGGTTCCCAAGGAGACCTGTCCCAGAGGACAGAGAAAGGCCCATCACGAAGCCTCCCCAGCTGGTCTGGGGGGCACTTCCAGTACTTCTTCTCCTCTAGCATATTTCATACACATACACACACACACACACACACACACACACACACACACACACACACACACCTGCACACACATCTATATAAACGTATCATTGTTTTGCCTCTTTCTTACATTACAGAGATTGTTGGGGGTGAGCAGCGGCCCACCAGGCCTCTAGGTGGCCAGGATGCAGGCCAGGGCTGACTGGTAGCCCTGCACCCCATTATCCTGCAGCAGAACAAGCTGATTATCTTTCAGGCCTCGGAGGCCTGCTGTTCCTTGGCCCCCAGGTGACAGAGAGCCAAGCCGAATGTGAAAGGCCAGCAGGGACCTGGCTCTGCCCTCAGATGCCCTGTGACCTCGATCAAGTCACATGACCCCTGCGGCCTCATCCCCATCTGGACAGCGGGAGGATGGGCTAAAGGCTCCTCCCGGGACCTCCCAGCTGTGACCAAAAACGAGACAGGGCTCTTTCTTTCCCTTCCTGCCTGACACCCAACCTTCTCTCTGTCAGCCTCATTTTCTTCCCGACGAGATCACCTTATTTAGCACAAAACAGAGACAGGTGCTGTGTACCTGGCTAGAAGCAACAGTGCCATCATGACAAGCTAAAAGCAAACACAGCATTGGTGAAACAGACACAGTAATATTTTTTAAAACATCACAGTTAAAATAATACAGGCACTTTAACCCTTTTGGGCCCTTGTCATGTCTGGGATCTCATTACCTTTCACACCTACCCAGTGAAGGCAGAGGAGCTTCTTCCCGTGTACAGAGAGAAAACAGAAGATTCTAGAAGGTCAGAAACAGACCCAAGGCACCCAGCCTGCTTGCGTGGGTGGCAGAGTGCGAACTAAAATAGGGACGCCTGACAGCCTTGCGGCAGTGCCAGGGAGGCGAGCTGGGGGAAGAGGAGAGTCAGCCTCTGAGCTCCTACTACGTGCTGTTACACACAGCATCTCCTCCACAATCTACGGGGCACCCATGTTCTCATTACCTCCATTTTACAGAGAAGAAAAAGGAAGCTCAGCAAGTTAAGTAAATTGCCTGAAGTCACACAGCCAACCAGCGGCTGGGCTGGGATGTAAATCGTAGTCTGTCTGACGGCAAAATTCTTCCTCTTTATATTCCCTGCAATGACCCTGGAAACTCAAAGGTTACAAAATGCCCAAGTTCAAAATGGGGGTGGGGGAGGGGGAGGGACAGGAGTCTGAGGAAAAAGGAAAGAAAGGATTTCATCTTGGTTAACAGCCCTCCTCCTTGCTGCATTCCCAGGCAGCGGGTAGGAAAGGGCAATCGTCTGAACCCACCAGACGTGAATTTTCCAGCTGGCTGAGTGTTAAAAGGAGGATTGGAATATAGAATAGATAGGTCACTGTTGGGGCACTCTTAGAACTAAAGGAACAATCCCCTCTTTTGCCTGGGGTTCTCTCTCCCTCTCTCCAGATGATTGCCACCAGGGGAACTTACGAGATGCCAACAGCTGCTAGGGAGCCCAGGGGGATGCTGGCAGCAGGCTCCCTGAGGTCGCCCCCCATGTTGAAGCCGGCCATGACTCCTGAAAGACACCCAGATGGGAGAGAAGGGTGAGCTGCATACTCCACGAATCATCTGCCCCTCCTCGGGGCCCTCTCCTGGAAGGGATCCCAGGGCCAAGCCCTCCCATATGCAGCTCTGCAAACTGCACTTCTCAATCTCCCCTGGCAACTGGGGAGGCATCCTCGAGGCATGAAAGGGACCTTTGTGGGTTGGGTGAGTTCGGGAGGAAAGCCCCATTGGCTTCAAAAGCATCTTATGGCCCAGTGCAAAGTAATGAGGGCCAGGGAGACGTCTGGCAGGCCACACAAAGGTCCCAAGGCCACATGCTGAGCTCTGAGCTCTGCTTTCCAGATGGACAACATCCAGGAGAGGCTCCGCCTTAGCAAAGTACCCACCACTGCCTGCTCAGCAGAGTTCCTTTCCTCTGCTGCCCACAGACTACACTGGGGTTCAGGGGTCCCAGGGGCAGGTCTCAACCAATATTCGGAGCCAGCTACCATGTTCAAAGCTCCTGAGCTGCCAAAGGGCTCTAAACAAACTCCAAAGAACCATCCTGATGCTACCAACACTGAGTGGCGAGCTCCTTTTCATCATGGACTCTATTCCCCATGAACACGCGTGAAAAGCAGTTAGTCACGATAAGGAGGAACAGCACAGTGCGGGACGGTGAGGACATCGCTTCAGTCCAAACACACACACACAGGAAACCAACAAGACAATGTGCTCTGAACATCACAGGTGGGTCCAGCCCACATGCGCTCTACAAGCCCACAGGAGTGGGTGCATCTTGAACGTGGACTTGAAGGAAGATTTGCAAGGGCTTAGGGAGAGGAATGGGTCTAACCCCGTCATTACAGATTTATGAACCCTTTGAACCTGACAGAGCCTGTGTTAAGCACTCTTCGTGCATTTTTTATCTCGTTTAATCCTCACAACCACCACATCAGAAAAGTAGAATTATTTCCCCAATTTTATAGAAAAGGAAACAAGTGCTCAAAGAGGTTAATTAAAATAGCCTCCACACATTTAGTAAGTGGCAAAGCTAAGATTCAACCCTGGTCTGTGTGATTCCAAAAATTGTACTCTTAACGCCCTTGCTATAATGCTTGAGGGAACTCAAGTGCAGTGGAGTGAAGTGAAAGTTTGCGCCCAGAAAGTTAAAGCAGAGCTATTTCATAGAGTACTGTGAATGTTGGACCAAGGCGGGGACCTGCATAAACTTTGACCCAGCAATTCCACTACTAGGGTTGTATCCTAAGTAAACAGTCAAGGATATGAGTAAAGATTTATCCAAAAATGTTTATAAATGCTTGTTTATAATAGTGAAAATTATAAACAACCTAATGTCTAAAAATAGAGGATTGGCTAAATATGTGATGATACATCTTTCAATAAATACCAGGTCACCATTATTGTCAGGGATACGCTGTGACATCAAAAGAGATTTCAAAGCTATCGCTTCAATTTCAGAGGCATATTCTAAAGCAGGACATATGGTATGATGCTATTGTTATAAAAGAAAAAAAAAACAGATAAATAGATGTGTAGAGAAATGAAAAAGGAACTAGAAAATGTTTCAAAATCTTAACAATGTTATTGCTGGGTGATGGAAAAACAGATCATTTTCTATTTTATTGTCTATCTCTACTTTCTTAATTTTCTATAGTGATCATTTTGAAATAAGGGAAAAGTAATTCTTAAAGGTCTTTTTGTTTAAAATAGCATGTTAGGCACATTTTCTTTCTTCTCATTCCCCTCCCTCCCAAGATCCTATTAAAAGGGTAGTTAAGGGGGAAAATGGATACATGCCTATAAGCAAAGAGCCTTAAGTAGATGAAAAGTTTCTACAAATGTCTGGAACATAGAAAATAGAGAAAATGATACACAATAAAAGGGAAGGAAAAGAAAGCCTTGGAATGTTTCTCTAGAAGATCTAAAGAAACTGCCCAAGGAAAACCAGGGCCGCTAGTGTGGATGTTCACACCCCATATGAAGCCCTCCTCAAGAGCCAGCCACACCCACAAATGTGCTGCCGTCAGCTCTCCCATGAAGGAAGAACCCCATCAGGGAGACAGACCCGCATACACTATAGCAGGGGACCCACACCAGCAACCAAAGATCGCCAAGTGTGTAACAAAACCCAGCAACAAATACACAGATACATGCATGATAAAAACAGAACCACCTGGGCTGGAAGAAACATACAAATCAGGACACAGAAGAGAATTCTGAAGAAAACACTAATAAGTGGCCCCAGACACATCCAAGAAGAATATTCTACCTATAAAGTGAGATGCTATGAAAAACAAAAAATAATCTAAGAACAAGAAAAAAGTTTTGGAAATTAAAAACATGATCACTAAAACAAAAACTGCAGTGGAAGATCTAGAAGATAAAGTTAAGTTAATACCCCAGAATTTAGAACAGAAAAATAAAGGGGTAGAAATTTTGAGCAAAGAATAGGAGAAATAGAGGAGAAATCTTGGAGTTACAACATCCAACTAACAGGAGAGAACAGAGAGAGAGAACAGAGAAAATAAAAGAAAATAACCAGGTAGCAATAAAAATAAATGTCTTCAAACTGAGGCAGACAAAAGTCTGTATGTTGAAATATCCCATAAAGTAAACAACAACAAAAAAGTCCACACCTAAATGCATCATTGTGCAATTTCAGGAGAAATCCTAAATATTTCCAAAGATTAAAAACTGAACACTTACAAAGGAACAAAAATTAGACTGGCATCAAACTTCTCATCAGCAACCATGAATTCTACAAAACAATGGAGCACTGATATTTAAATTCTGAGGAAAAGCTATTTTGAAACTAGAGTTTCAGCCAGATTACCAGTTAAGTGAAAGTAAAGTTAAGCTAAGAAGGGCTTAGCCAGATTACCAGTTAAATGAAAGTAAAGTTAAGCTGGCTTCCCTGGTGGCGCAGTGGTTGAGAGTCCGCCTGCTAATACAGGGGACACGGGTTCGTGCCCCGGTCTGGGAAGATTCCATGTGCCGCGGAGCGGCTGGGCCTGTGAGCCATGTCCGGAGCCTATGCTCCGCAACCAGAGAGGCCACAGCAGTGAGAGGCCCGCGTACCGCAAAAGAAAAAAGTAAAGTTAAGCTAAAAAGGGCTTAGGAAATTTACCTCCCACATATGGTTTCTTTCTTTTTTTAATTAATTAATTAATTTTTGGCTGCGTTGGGTCTTCGTTGCTGTGCACGGGCTTTTTCTAGTTGCAGCAAGCGTGGCCTACTCTTCGCTGTGGTGTGTGAGCTTCTCGTTGCGGTGGCTTCTCTTGTTGTGGAGCATGGGCTCTAGAGCACAGGCTCAGTAGTTGTGGCGCACGGGCTTAGTTGCTCCGTGGCACATGGGATCTTCCCGGACCAGGGATCGAACCCTTGTCCCCTGCATTGGCAGGTGGATTCTTAACCACTGCACCACCCGGGAAGTCCCCACATATAGTTTCTGAGGAAGATACTAAAGCAAGTACTCCAGCAAAATGAGGATATAAACTGTGAAGGAGAAAAACACATGATTCAGAAAGCAGCGATAATAACTCAGGAATTTATAAGTCCCAGAATAACCGTTGTACGGCAGAGAAACCAGTAGGGATTGAGGCAGAAGAATGGAGGCCCCAGTAGGGATGCCTCTGGATGGGAGCTGGATTCAACACAATGGACAGTATGAATTATTTTAAGAATACGCTGACTGCATATTTTGGCAACAAGAAAAAAAAGCTCATTGAAACTCTAGGAAAAGTGAACAAGAAAGTCAACACTTAAACATGAAGCAAACTAAAATATGACATGATTTTAAACAACTAATAAAAATTTTTTTTAATTAACCCATTTGGCCGTGATACTCAGAACATTCTCCCCGAAATGACACAAGGACCACATCAGAATAGCAGTAAAGGAAATGGAATTCTAGCCCAGCCCATTCTAGTCTTCAGTGAACAGCTACATAGTCATGGTAGTATATACGTTTATTGCTTTTTAGCTTCTAAGATTGACCTATAGACGTAGCACAGAGGACTTAACTATAGCTACAAAGTAGAATACAAATATTACCTACCTTGATGAAGTGAAAGTAAAGCTATAGCTAACGGCTATTTGGAAATGAAAAGAGGGAAGAGAAGTAGAGGGAAGAGAAAAGGCACTTATATTTTTGTTGTAATAGTGTGGGAAACAAAAGTCCCATGACCTTCACTCAGGACTGGCTTGAATGTTAGAAGCTTCGATTAGTTTAATAAGAAAACCTGAAAGGTGAGTTAGCCATTAAATTTGTTAGGTCAATAAGGAAACAGCTAGCAAATATTTATATACCAGTCGCAATAAATTTTAAGTTAATGCTATAAATTATTCTGTATCTTGTCATCATAAAGGGGAGTTTCTAAGTGTTTGCTAAAACGAGCAAGAAATTTCCAAGAATACTGAAGCTTGTCTTTGAAGTTCCAAAGCCTTTTGACTTGCAATCTTAAGACAAAAAAAAATTTTTAGTAGAGTGTGTGTTTGAGTGAAACTGTGTTCACTTCAAGTTGTAAACTACAGCTTTCATGAGATTTTGCCCATTAACCTGCTAATAATCTACTTATAGCTTCCCTAATATTGCTCTAAAACACAAATATAAAAGGATTATTCAGATTCCCTTAAAATTAGGGATTCCCTTAAGATTACTAAAGCATTCCTTGTAAAAATATTTTACACATAAAATAAATATGACCCTAACACATTAATCCTAAAACACAACACAGAATATTAGTTTCCCATACCAACAATAAGGAGTGAAGGGATGTGGCCTAGAATTGATAACAGAGATTTAAGAGTATTATTTAAAGTTGTAAAGGCAATCAAAAAAGAACTAAATATTAAAATATAACTAACAAAAATTGGGAAGTGGATGGAGTAACATGTAAATGAGCTAAACCTTCTCTATTTCTTAGCATGGAGTCAATAAATTATGTCTGGACTTTGATTAATCAATCAGGTTACAGGTATAGGCATATTGCTTGGTAATGTAGTTAG